GCACGTGTTCCGTCAATAGCCCTTCATCTGGAACTCGTTGAGGATTTCGTCTTGAGAGCCGCCACTCCTCAAATTGCCAATAGCTCCCAACTTCACCAGGAGAGTAGAAACAAAGGAGGCCGCGGAGACGATAACGGCCGTCCAAAGGAATGACGTTCATTTCCTGAAGAGTATGAAAGGTGCACGTCAGCCGTCACCTTGAGTAACTTTACATTAGTCAGTTAGAAATATTCAGCTAGACAGCGTTCTGTGTTAAAAGAAGGGCATCAGGAATTCTACAGATTTAGTTTGGATGTTGATGATCAAAATGGATTTATTCTATTCTAATATCCACAGGTTTATCCGAGGTGCCTGAAAGATCAAATCCAGTCAAAGAAGTCACACTCTTTGGTGATCCTCCTATTTAATGCAAAAATCCAGCAATCCCACAATAACTGTTGAGGTTACTCCCCAACACTGAATCAGGCAGTGACTAAAATGTCACCGTTAACTTTCATAACCTGAAAAGGTGTAAATAAAAGTTTTACAACAGCACCACAGTGATAGTGAGAAGCAAGAAGCTGAGAGGGTTCTTCCCTTTTGTCAGAAATTGTGTTATTATTTCACGCCTTGGCAACAGCAACCGATGGCCGTGTGCCGACATGGAGGGACTGAGGGTTTTCTGCACTGTAGTTTTCATTGTCTTTTGTTGTTATCATCTCTGCGCTGGTGAGTGAGTGTGTCTGTCCACGGCGAATCTCTCTGATTCATTTCGCTTTTGGCAATATTGTATGAATCGTATCCTCTGACGACTGTGAGCCGTTTAACTGCGTCCGTCTTGATTTTGTGTTTGAATGAAGTGCGTTTTTTACGACGCTGTACATTTCTAGTCTCTTCTGTATTGTGTATGAGAGAAAGAAAGACACAATGTCTTAATTCATTATCTATAATGAAACAATTTGCATGTGAGGCCGCGAGTCAGAAGTCAAATAGTCTCCTCTGCACATCTCGTTCTACCAGCCAGTGTCTTAATGCTTCCTTTTCCGAGTAGCTGGTCAATACCACTGATCATTATTGACCTTCACATCGGCTCTGCTTTTTCTCTCCCTTGTATACATCTTCCTTTCTCCCCCAAGACAATAGGTCCATTCGCTCAAGGCCGCGTGTTCGATTGAATGTTTATGGGGGTTTGCTGTGTTAAAGTGTTGGATACCATAGAGAAAGGGTGTAAGGCAAAAAAATAAAAATAATGACAACGTATCATTGAAACAATGTTATTTTCATTATAACGCACGCTGGCATGACTTTCAGGGCCGCATATATACGGAATGTGACAGGCGGCGCCTCGGCCTGTCCTCATAACCTCCAGCAGGTGAAGCTGTCCTACAGCACAACGTGTCAGCTACAGGGCTGCTCCGGACCTCATGGACAGAATTAGGTCCACACATAAGATCTAACTATTGGGCCCACAGATAAAGCCCGTGTAGAGGATTTGCTTAATTAGTTCGTCTCAATTCCTGGATGCCAAAGGAACCATGATTGTAATATTTGATTGATCCCTCGGATAAACCTTCTATTCTAGCCGAGTGCTGTTTCGAAAATATCTTAAAACAACAGTAGATACATTAAAAATGATTATTTAGTTTCTGAATCTACAGGAAAAACTGCACATTTCCCATAACTACTGTATCAAATCATCCACCTTGGGCCGATTCTATGTGATCGTTCTTTGATAGTTAAGCTATTAAATAGTCAAATATCTGTTACACTTCCATTCACTGAGCCTCTCCTGAATCAGTTGTTGTTCCTGTAGTTTAGTGCACAGCAAACCAACACAATTACTTTGCTGCAATCCCCCGAAACACACCTGCTTTTAAAGTAACTTTACCATAAACAAAACAACAAGAGACTGTTAATTAACTCAGACTCTTTCATTTCATTGATGTAATTTGAGTTAACAGTATTTGCATACAGAGTGGAAAAAGATCTTTATTTTTGCATGAATAATGAAAAGCTTCTCCATTCCTTCCGATCTCTGATATCCTACTCAGAGCGGATGTGACTCTTCACTGAAGACTGAAAGAAATAAGAAATAAAAGCCAATAAAATCTGTAGGTGAAGTGAAGTGCGTGTGATTCTTCTCGTTGATATTATTCTCCCTAGTAGTCATCCAACAGAAGCACAGCTCGGCTTAATGTTGGAAAACCCTTTTAAAATGAAGCTGAAACTCCTTCTTTGAGGTGAAGGAACTGTGCTGACAACGCTGATGATAATTGATTTGCTTCAGTCAAATGACATATCCAACATCACAGTAAGCCTTAATTGTAGGGTCACTGTGGTAAATGGCAGCCAATTGTAGGTTTCCAAGAAATTGTGTTTACACTGCAGCGCAGACATAGACTCTGGAGAGTGTGATAGTTATTCACTTAAAACAACATTTTCGAAAGTGAATATGTGATTTAGCTGCTATTTTGCTTTTGGGTAACATTAGGGTTTACAGCAGCAGCAGTGGAAAGCGGTGGTGTACCAAGTCAGAAGGGCCATGACAATAAATCTGTAAAAGAGTAAGAAAATGAACGTGGAAGCATAACAGGTAGGTGCATGGAAAAAATATGGAAAGATAGCGAATAAAAATAAATAAATGTGTGAATAGAAAAAGAAATTAGACAAATGAATGATAAAAGAATAATTACAGGAGTTTTCAATATTTTCATATTTATTTTTTCATTAATTTTTGTGTATATTTATTTACATATTTGATCCTTTTACTTTGTCACAAATAAATACTTGACTTGTTTACTTATTGTCTTAGCTTGGATAAGCTGCTCCAGTCTCACGCTGCAGATAGACACGCCCATTTTACAACATGACACGCCCCCTGCGATAACTCAGGGGTTCACACACATATTTGGGCTCAAACCTAACCGTGTAGTTCAATAACTTTGGTGCCTGCAACCTAACCGAAGTGTGACTGTTTGCAGGGGCGAGGAACCCGCGGAGCCCCACTGAGCTGCTTCGGCGGGAAGCATTTTACCGTGGCTTTATTTTCGAGGTGGCAATCTGAATCACCAGCAGGGGCCTGTTCACCTTCCAACAGTCCTTTAGACAGCCCCCCAAGAGGGGCTCTGCATGCCGTGCACTGCTATCATTTGGGCCCCTGGTGAAAAGGCCAAACGCTCTTTTATCTCCATTCATTTTGGTTTTTTGAACGGTTAAACTCAGCTGTCCTCTTTATGGAGCTGAGCAGTAGTGTGTTAGGTATTTCCTACGGGAAGGGCCCGACAGCAGCACAGTTGCCTTCACTGTAGCCGACGCGGTCTCGCCGGTGACAGTGGCCCTGTGCCGCTAACGGAGCGACAGGTGTCCTTTTTCCTCTCCATCTGTGAGCATGAGATGTAACACGAGGCTTCTCTCTGCCCTCCGAGGTCAAAATAGACACGTGAAAATACGGGTGAAAGGTCCCAGTGGGGTCAGCAGGCATTCCAACACCAAGTATGTCAATCATCAGAAAATGGCCCTCGCGGTTTCATGCAGAGGTGGAGTTACCTGTTGATGCAGGCTGGTGTAGCCAACACTGGGGTCAATGCTGCAAACCAACGAGTCAGCTTCACGCCAATATTGGAATTTGATATCATTTTGCATTACTGTGATAACGTAGCCTGCATTGGTGTAAGATAAGAACAATTATTGTTAATTATGAGCCATTTCTCATACAGGACTAATCAGAAACCGACAGTTTATCATGAATCTTCTTTCGAATGTAAATGAATATTACAGGCGTACACGGAGGCAAAGGGACGTCAGTCGATTATAAAACACACGCGAGAGCAATGAGAAAAAAGAAAGAGGAAAACTCTCTGTGATCTATGATCAATAATTAACATACTTATGTACTTCATATCCGCTGGTCAATTACTGAAATTGCATTCGGCCACGAAGGATCAAAGTGCATTATAAGTCCATTGTTGTAGTGAAATGAAATTGCTTGAAGCAAACAAGCACCACTGGCAGTAGCTTATCAACACTTATCAACATCAAGCATTATAACGGAGATTATGATGCATTATACAACGATGCAAAACGATGAATGTCTTATAACTATAATTAAACCTTCGCAATGCTCAATATAAATATGCATTTGGTGACGTTTTTAAGAACTTTATATAAATCCCATAAACAAGTAATAATTGTACTATTTATTATTATCTATTATTATTCATAAATAATAATAATAATTATTGTTATTATTGTACTATATATTATATATTATTATTACTATTCCACTGTATTTACTGGACAAATGAGTCCTTACAGAAAGCAATATAGTACGATTACCTCAACATTTCAATTTGTAAATATAATTTGCTGAACATGTCATGAAAGGTGGGAACGAGTCACAGACGTGAGACTCGAGCATCTGGAGTGAGATTCTCAAGCATCATTAAAAGCCACAGTGGTTTATTTGATACGCTGCAGTGCTCATTACTAAACACGTTCATGCATTTCCCCCAGAGGCAAAACGCTAAAAACAGAAGATAAGATTCAAAAGGTTATTCAATATTGACGCTTTACAATGTGTGCATAGAAAAGGAAAGAATAAAACATTAAGTACCTCAATTTTCATTTTGATATCGTGTATAAAATGTAATATCACTAATAACGCGTCCAGATCAAGCGCGCGCGCGAGCGGACGGCCGGAGGCTCGCGCGCCTCCTCGCGCTGCGCTTCTGCGTATCGACGTGTTGTTAGCGGATGGGGGGGGTCAGGGGCTGATCTCTGCCTCCAGAGGTCATTCTCACTACAGTTGCCACTTGTTGCCAAAGCAGCGCGGGGGCTCCACCACTCAACACCCGAGTAGAAAGGAGAGAAAAGAACGGGGGAAAAAAGAGAGAAAAACACAGACTTTTTGAAGCGACCATCGAGCCCTACATGTCCGGGTGTTGGATGCGGATTGTTACCTGAAGCACGACTCGCGTGATCCGGCTGACAGATCGTTTGTGCGCATCTTGACGGACAGAAGGATGGTTGATAACGCGAGTATAGCAACTAAATCCGCCCTGGTAAGACTCCGCCGGGCCGCTGATTTAAACTTTAAACGGTTGTTTTATTCAACGCATGTTTTGCACTTTACTTTGTAAACTTTGTATCTTGACAGGTTTAACCCGCGTTTTAGACATTTTAGTGCAAGTTTGTCAGGTTAGCTTGTCGGCTAAATTTGCAAAAGTATCGAGTGACCGTAATGTGTGTAATGATGCTAATTGGGAAAAGCGTGTGTTTAATCCAAGAAAGTGGCGGTAATAACGATCACCCGACCATCCTCTCTCCGCTCATCCCCCCCCCCCCCCCCCAACCACCTCCACCACCACCCCAACCCCACCCCGCGCCGCCCCGCAGCAAGCCTCGTTCTCGTCCGCCGGCAGCCTTCCCCTCCAGGCTCCCTCCGCCTCCTCTCACGGCCCGTTCCCCGGCGCCCAGTCCCACCAGCAGCCCCCCGGCGGCGGCATGAAGCTCGAGGCCGTCATGGAGAACCTGCAGCGGCAGCAGGCGGCGCGGCTGGCCCTGGAGGAGAAGCTCCGTCAGGCGGAGACGGAGAAGGACCTCCGCTCCATGGTGGAGTCCCAGATACACCAGCAGGCGCTGGCTTTCCGCCACTACCAGGCGGCGATGCGCGGCGCCCTGGCCGCCGGGGTCGCCAACGACGTGTCCCCCGGAGCGACGCTCCAGCGCGCCGAGGAGGACGGGAACTCCTCCAGGGCGGGGAGCGACGGCCGGGAGCGGGACGAGGAGGGGGACGACGTGGACGAGCAGGAGGTCATGGACGAAGACGAGGAGGGCGAAGACGACGTCGGCTTGCACCACTACGACGACCGGCATCCGTCGCTCCGCGGGGCCGGTCCGCCTCCGAGGGGCGTCCCGATGCACCTCATGGCCCGCGTGCCGGCGGCCTTCGCCCCGGGCCGGCGCGCGGAGTCCCCCTCAGCGCACGCTCAGCCGCCGCAGCACGACTGGACCTACGAGGAGCAGTTCAAACAGGTAGGACGGCACCTACGACCCCCCCATGGGAACTAAAGCCACTTTTTGGGAGGGTCAACTTTGGGCTTTTCTGTTGCTTTGACTTGATATTGTTGCAGTGTGGGACACAACGGAGATGTTGCTGGAAAAAGTTTGAAAATAGGCTGAAACCTTTATTTTTAGTTCATATGAGGCAGTATAAACTGTAACTAAATGCCTCTAACTTATTATTATTATTATAAGTCATTCAGGAATGCTCAAGATTAATAAGAAACTAAACATTTAGGTTAGGTTGTAAACATTGAACGCAAATGATCAAAGTCCATTTATTCTATTTAACAAGCTTTATTTGAGACATTACAAACATTAGCAGCTGTATTATTATGGACTAGAAAGCACATGTATTCAGGTAAACCAAGATTAAAAACACATTTATGGTTGCCGGCTTGTTGTTAAAGGCTGGCAGCATTACAGTGCTGAATGTATAAATACGCTGATCGCATAATGCATGAATGCATTTAGCTTTCAAATCAGTTATTGATCAGTCAAGGACATCTGTCCTCTGAAAAGTTGTTGTTGTTGTTGTTGTTGTGGCTTATGTCTAAAAAGCATTAGGACTCGTACGTTAATACAGCAGCGTCCTTATTCTATATATTCTATACGTTAATAACTGCATGTTGTGAGATTGGTGCACGGATCCATACGCTCAGCGGATCATCTCTTATTTATGACAGATCATTTGCAGACATACCCAAATGCAATGTGTACATTAGCGACTGCATTAGCACCGCACATTAAAGCAACCCGATGCATGGAAATGCAATTTACATTGTGGCGTGGGGGGGTGCGGAGGTGCGGGGGGTAAATCCGGTAGCCTCGTCATGTTCGATTTCGCCGTGTGTCTCTGATTCGTTTATCGATCAATCCAGCAATCGATCAATCAAACATTACTTCAGACACAGGGTCCAGGTGACACAATGATACAAACAAAATACGCACTGAACCAAAAACCAAAAAGCAGAGTTTTATGTCCCAGCTGTTGCTGTGCCGGACGTTATTAGATGTCAGCGGAAAGACTGATCTGGTTTAAAATAAGTCATGTAGGTGTTGCTGATAAAAGTATTTTTTATTGAGACAAAGTTGCCAGTACAACGTCAGGGCCGCACGCTTTCCCCAGGATGTGCAGTTATTGTGGGGGGGGGGTCTGTGTGTAGCCATTCAGCGTAATGGTCACGGGGACAATAAAAGGATGCTTATGGCTGCTCGGCAGACAGAGTGGAGCCTGCATGCTAAGCGTGCTCAGAGCTGCAAAACAAAACCCACATTTGAGGGCAGTAAATGCATCTTTGGAAAATAGGAACAAGATGTGGGCTAAATATAAAAAAGGGCCTCGGCGGGGCCGAGGACTTTTTAATCTGATCTGGACAGAGTGGTGTTTACAGCGGCTCCTAAATCACTTCTGTAGAGTTCAGGGGAGGGGGAGGGCATATATATATATTCATATCTATGTGTATATAAATACTCCGTCACAGGTTTACAAAGCTAAAAAACAATGTACTTTAATTCAGATGGAGAAAAAGCCTAGAAAATAATTTAAATAGTTCCAATAACAGGTTGTCGACTAGGAAATGAAAACACGTGGAGCGGTGCAGATGGAGCGGCTGGTTTCCACACGCAATGTCCATACATATACATAATAATAGTCCATAGTAACGAGCATATACATAGTGATGAATGATGTCAGGCGGCCGGCTTTTGGTACGGACGGTGTGCCAAGAGATCCGAGTGAAAAACCTTTCCTGGCAGTGACAGAAGAAGATGCTGAGCTGACGGAGACCCGATGCAGAGAGGGAGAGAGAGGGAAGGGGAGAGCGGGGGAGAGAAAGAGAGAGGGGAGCTGGCAGCGGCTCAGGAAGTGCAGCAAACTGGATCTGGTGGTGTTCTGGCTCACACCCAAAAAATGCTGGGATCTCCCCGTCGGGCAGCACGCGCGTGTGTATGTTTGTGTGTCTGGGAGTCGGCTCGGTGCCAAACTATTACGAAACAGAACCGTGAGCTGTTACACACTTGGGCACACTTCCTCCCTTACTCACACGCACGCACGCACACACACACACACACACAGTGTTTGACAGTGGCGCTGGCACGGATCCGATCGGCATGCACAGGCGAGGTAGTAAACTGCAAGAGAGGTTTGTGTGGTTCTACTCGTACAAAGAAAACCACACGCGCATGCATGTGAGCATTACGTTTGAAGGCCACAGCACAACAAAGTTCTGCGCGACTTTCAGAGTCGTCAAAGTTGCCACGGCAACCAGCGCTGACACGGCGCTTACTCCGAATGTCTGCAGGTTCTCTCTCCACTCTGCAAGTGTGACCATGACAGAAAGTCGCAGGCCGCGTCCCGTGAAACCGGCTCCCACAGTCAGGTGGAATCAGCTGAATGAGAGCTGTGCTTTTCACGCTCCGAGCCTCCTGAGATGAGTTCTTTGTTTATCAGAGACTGAACGGCCGACTACAGAGGAACTGGGACAAATGTTTACGAGATTTATCACTAAGAAACGTCCTCGGGGGGATTAATTGCATTAAGGCAATATATTTCTGCACAGTTCCCTAGGTTCCTCTGTTGCAAAGAGGAAATGTTTATTAAAACAATTAGACAATAATGCCACAAAAAAAAGCATTTTATCAATGTTTCTAAGAATAAAATGTAGTATATATGAACAAAGCCCTCTGTACAACGCTCCAGAATATATATCAAATTGCCGGTGTGTGAGCTACTGAAAAGATTTCTGAGAATAAACTTATTTAGAGACAACGACCATTAACCAATATGTTTGGCAAAACAACATATATTTAGAAGACAATAAATATGAATATAATAAAATATGAGACTAATAGATATCATCATCACATTGTCCCAGTTAATTACGTAATTTATTATTTGTATTACAAGTTGACAAGTGAAATGGCTGGTTTAGTATGCGAACGAGGCATTAACTGACTGAATTTAGGTTTGACCACGAAGTAGAAAAATAAAGACCATCAATGTGTATTTCGGGAATACTCTGAAAGAAGACGTGACGTGGAAGCAACACAACCCCAAAAGTGGCCGGTGCATTATAAACCACGTTGGTTGCCCCCGTGGCGCCTCGCCCCGAGCGGTGAAACTCAAACCGCCCCCAAAGCTTCTGAAGCCGTACGTCTCCCCCGGTGAATAATGTAATGCAATGAACGCGTTGGTATACGGAGCCACTCCTCGCTGTGGATCGTACCTCTTCCAGCTTGTTTTTTCAACAACTATAGAAAAGCGGTGGAGGGCGGAGGAGGGAGCTCCAGCTGTACCGGTGTACGATTTCACCCCCACCCCCCGCCACTCAAGTCATCCGCACGGCAGAAGCATTGACATGTCGTGGGGTGTACGAGTAGGTATTTAAAGGCACGTTTCCTCCTAAAGAAATGCCACCGAATGTAAACTGTGGAAGAATGGAAACAAATTCAAAGCCAAATGACAGATTTCTTCTTATGTCCCTCTGTATTAATCAGCCTCAACTTTACGCAGAGCTTTTTTTTTTACATATTTGGGTCAAGGCTACCTCTTAATTCCTTTTAAGAATTCCAACAATTATTTATTTATTATGATATATATGCACGCTTTTTATCTGTTTGAACTTTAAATTGATATTCAGGGTTGGGTTGTCACGATGCCAAAATTATTAAAATAATTTGAACACTTAAATAAATGGCATTAATATTAGCATTGCTCTACAGCAAGATATTTATTAAAAAAACACATGGCGCCATCATAGCGCTGGTTACACACAGCTATGTGTCATGTCTCCGCTGCGATCCTCGCTGTGCGTGATCCGAACAGATCACGGTGGCCTGAGACGTCGCGCCTTTCACGCCTCTCAACGAACTAATTGCGTCCACTCGTCCTCACCAGGAGGACGGTGCGTCGAGGACGAGCTTTTATTTGCGAAGACTTTCACATCACACGGAGCGTTTCCGTTTCTACCGGAGGTGTGCCGCGCTGAGCAGGCGGATGAATGTGCAATGCCGTGGTCCTTCTGGTTGTGCGGTCTCTGTTTTTCAGTCGTGTATCAAAGGGCCAGTCTTGAAAAACAATCACCCCCCCCCCCCCCCTTCCCTCCCTTTGAAACCCCCTCTGCACCCCCCGCTTTTTAGTGTCCCCCATAAAACTGTTCCGGGGAGGCGCGTTTGAAAGTTCTCTTGGTACACATTTGTGTAAGAAGACGTGGGCCCGGCTTTGTGGGGTCCCACATTATTTCAAAATATGGGTTTTTATTTTTCCGGCGGTGAAACCCCCCCCTCGGGCTTCCCCACCAAGGGTTCTTGGCTCCCGACATTCTCACTTACCGTGGTTGTCATTCTTTAAAAAAAAAAAAAGAGTCTCGTCACGGGAAAGCTTTTTTCGCTTCCTTTACGGTCCCCGGGTGCCCCCATTGTTTTTCTCGGGGGGGAGAGGAGGGGGGGTCGGGTTTGGGGAAGCAGAAGAAGTGATAGAAGGAAGGGAGCATCTGCGGTTGTGTTCTTCTGGGTCTCCGTAAGGGACCCTGGGAAAGTCTTTGGTGCCGGTGCTCAGACCAGGTACAGGGGAGACGGTGTCCTTAATACGGACGGCAGGGAGGAGACACAGCGGACGCGGTTCATGCAATTATACTTGTAATTTGACAGCGATGCGAAAATACCTTAGTTTTGGTGTTCGATGCAACATCGTGGACAATGTAGCGCGGCTATTCATTGATCATCGTGAGTGTCATTGATTTTCTTTCGGTGGTAAAGGAAGAAAAATCAACAAATTGTTTTAATGATCAAAATTGATTTGTTTCCAGTCACACTTTTCTTCTAAGGCATCTCGAAACATCTTAATTCTAAGTGGAGGAAACTTGCAGAAGCCCTGGTATCAGAGGGACGTTGATCCCCTCTCCCCCCTCCTCACACACTCACACACATGCACACACACGCACACACACGCACACACACTTACCGGCGCTCTA